AAAAAAAAATATAGAAATTCAACTTTTATTTTAGATTTAATTTTTTAAAAATGTTTCATGGCACTACAAGTGTGCCATATTAAACAAAACCCATTTCAGAGCTTGCTCTACTTCTAGCTGTGCTTGTGCTGTTCCCATAGAGGTGCAGGACTTTACACAGCAGTAAAAAATGAACCCACTGTGAGTAAAAATGTGACACGAAACACACCCAGAAACTGCTTGGGGTTCAGAGGGTAATAAACCTCTAAAGGTCTAAAAATATTCTCGTGTGCTTGTTTTCTACATATAAAGTTACTTTACACAAAAATAACAACATCTATTGTTTATTCTGTTAAAATATGAATATAACATGTTGTCATGTTGCAGTGGGTTTTTTGTATTCTTGACTGTAACTTTTTCATTAGCTGCCTGGCAACCAGTTTAAGATATAATCCCACATCCAACCCACTCTAAATCACTTTGGATTTTGCTAATGCTTGCTAAAAAACAAATAGCACCACTTTCATACCCATGAAGGGAAGCGATGTAAAGGAGGAGTTGGCGGCTTGAGCACTTCTGGATCCAAACGCTCCAGCTCTTCTGCCAGTCCCACAAAGGACACCCCATCGTGGGACAGCTCCTCTGGGCCCTCCACCACTCCGTCCATGCTGTCTGGGAGCCCATCGTCAATGTCCGTCTCTTCTACAACCTGAGAGAAAGGCGAGGTGGCGGTGCCGGTGCTCTTCAGAGTGGAGGAGGTGGAGGATGGGGTCATGATGTCTATGTTGACGTTGAGGTGGTGGAGTCGGTCCAGGCTGGGCTGCGGCTGGCTGTAGTGCTTCTTGACCAGCTGGATGCTGTCTCTGGGGGTGAGCGGAGTCCGCACCTTGGGTAACGTCATGCTGGTGCCCGACTGGTGGACCAGAGGCTGGGGAGGGTTGGGGAAGGGGTTGTTGGTGGAGGGGGAGCGAGACAAGAGCGGGCTTTTGGGCGTCATCATCATGGGCGACTCTGGAGAGCTCGGTCCGTGGGCCATCTCGTAAGCGGAGGATGAGGACGAAGAGGACGAAGACGAGTGAAGGCACTGAGAGCGGAACTTGCTGTTGAGCTCGTCGGAGGAGTTGTCTCGGTCGGAGCATCCCACCTGGCCCTCTGAGCCCACTAAGAACTCCGGTCCACCGGGGTTTGGACTCTCCCTGCTCCGGCCCTGAGAGAAGGCATCGTGGGCTGCGAGGTCTCCGAAGCAAATCCCTTTACTGATCTGTTCAGGAGTCCTCTTCACATCTGAGGAGACACAACATTGTCTGGTTACATCTGAGCAGGACTATGTATAGTGGAGGAAATCTAAATAAATCACAGTATGAGCATGTGATGGTTCAACACAGAAGCACCATAATAATGAAGTGGAGGGAAGAGTTTAGAAAACCTGATTTGATGGAGAGCTTTGAAAACATGCGGCTAAAAGCTTTAAACATGGTTTGAAAGTCATGCTGTGTTTTAAAAACTGCTTTACTACACTACTTATCATAACCAGACAGTATGAAGACAATGAATTGTTGGATTTTCAAATTCCAGACCGTCCTTTATCGACCCATCTGTGGCCTGCTGTTCATTTAGGAAATCTCTTAAAATCATGACAATTAAATAAAATCACTTTATTGTAAAAATTCTCCAAAAATCAACCATTTGCACTCATTATATTATGCAAAAAACAAACATAAAACATGACTATTCTGTGCTCCTTCATGCAGCAGTGAAGCCATTACTGACTCAATCAACAGTCACGTGACCAAACTTTTGGGTTGAACTGCAGGATGTGTGCACGCAGATCAGACACGGGACAAGTGTGAAAACTGAAAATGAAATTTAGGGTGTAAAATATCTATAATATCCGTAGAGTCATAATTCTTTTTTGTTTTACCAAAACTGGTAGCACCTGTAGGCATTTAGACAATCATTTTACATGTTGATTCCAGGCTTTTCCAATTTTTTGAAAAATAAGCAATGGAAGAAATTCAGCTTTTGTTGTTGCTTTTTTACGAGTTCTAACTTCATAACTTGGTTGTACAGCATAAAAGACATTTTTGTGTTCTGTACACTTGTTGTTCTGTTTCCTTAGAGGTGCAGGACTTTATATTGCAGTGAAAAATTAACCTACAGCGATGAAAAAAATGTAACAGGAGCAGAAACTGCTTGAACAGCAAAGGGTTTAGTGGTAAACAATGGATATTTAAAAGCATTCCAATACACAGCAGATGATGATGATTATTAGTCCGAACAATTCACCTGAAATTAGCATAAATGACAGTATTAGTAAATATTACCAAACAAATCCAATAGAATCTAGCATCAAAAGTGGCCCGTAATAAGGACAAACAATTAAAACAGATGGTACCAATCACTAACCACAAATGAATACAACACAACTTTAGAAATACCCATTAGGTTGTTCTGAGGCTTAAGCTCAGCCACAAGTTTCCGCTGTTGTTTGTGGATCAGCCTGGTGATGTGAGCGGCCCAGCTGGAGCTGCATCCTGCTATACACCCCGAGACAATATAAATTAAGGGCAGCACACCTGTTGCTGGGGTCTTGATATTAGAGGCGGCCCCACGCGGACCCGTCTGCCTCCAGCTGTCATCTTGGGCGGGTGGCGTACCGGGGCAGCTGGGAGGAAACAGTGGGCTGCTGGGCACCAGGTGGGTATCCATTACAGGGGAAGTGGCAGGAGATCCAGGGGATGCAGGCTTCTCTAAGAGAGCTTGACAAGAAAGGCAACACCGGTAACTCAGCCTCGTTTGAACCGCAGCTTTGGGAATAATGATACGTCAACTCTGTGCCTGTCTATGTGACCTGTTACATGTTTCCTGTAGCGGAAACAAGAAATAAAGTAAGTAAACCATGTATGTAAAGTCATGTCCTCATGCACAGTATACAGATTAAGCAATCCTGTAAGGCAAACAGCTAAAGGAGTGTTTTTTTCTTCCACAGTTGAACATCCTTCGCGAATAATCAAAATTTTAAGAACAATTTTTGCCTGACTATCTCTGATTTGCCAGAATCTCTTATAGTATGGAATATTTGTGAAATTTTATCTTCAATTAAAAGCCACTGTTAGCACATTTTTTAACACACTGGAGTTTGAGCCTAAGTTGGAACCTAAGTTTGAACCACAATATCTCAGGAACTATTAAAAATATAAGTCTTCACTGTCTCATTATGTCACAGATTCAGAGTTTGCCTTATTGGACAAGTAGATAAAACAGTCTCTTAATATGGGGGAGAGCTAAAAACATTTTAAAAAATCTCATCTCTGAGGACCCAAAAATATTAGAAAGTGTGAAAAAAAATAGTAAAAGTTGGTCAACAGGTTGTTTTTTGGAAATGCAGACAGTACTTTATATATGAGTCTAACATTTTCCAGATATCAGTTTAAAAATCCCCAATTCATGATTTAAAAAAAAAAGAAAAGCAAATCAAAGCTTGACAAGCAGAAGACCCCTGATGATTTGAGATGGAATAACCTTTATTTTGGTTTATCAATATCAAAATTGGCTTCTAATGCTGTTGTCTGAACACCTGCAGCAGAACTCACATTGTAGTTTGTCCTGCAGCAACATTATCTGCTCCGTCTGCTTCAGGTTGGCCATTTTCAGCTGCTGGTTCTCTTGCTCCATCTGCAACAGGGCATGCATGTTACATGACACACGAGTCAAAGTACTCAGTAGCATCCAGGTATTGTGAAATCAGGTAAACAATGCATCTTTGGAAAACTTTGTTTGGCCTCATCTAATCACGACTGAAAGGTTTCAAACTGCTTAATTTCAGAGATGTATAGGTTGACATTTACAAAACGGCAATTTTACTTCCCCTACTGTTTGCTACACAAACAGCTGTAAATAATAGGTGTTTCATCATAAACATCTCTTGTTCCCACAGATACCAGCTCTCACCAGGATGAGGGCTGCATCTTTACATGTCTAAGCTTACCTCTCTGAGCTTAAAGGTGACCCAGTCTTTAATCTTGGCAGCCTTCTCCTCAATAATTTTTGCCTCCTGGGCTCTGACTAAGATCTGTAGCGAGAGAAAACAGGTTTCTGTGGAATTTTTCAACGTACACTTTATGAACATAAATGGACATTTCTTTATCCGCCGGCTCCGTCCATACCTGTTTTTCCAGCTGCGTCTCTAATCTCTTTATTACAGCATCTTTTTCCTGAACCTGATTGGTCAGGTCCTGATACTTTCTGTACAGCGAGCTCTCCGACTCGCTGGTTTGTATGTTTGCAGACTTCAGCTGTTCTTCCATGACGTGGATCTGAAATGCATAATTAGAGGAGTGAACGCACAGCCACGCTTCGTTTCGTTCTGACGGGCACCAGACAAAGCCGAGAACAAAACACTGACGATACTTTTTTGCCAACTGTGATGAGAAAAAAAGCTTTCTAAGCCCTCAGGTATTTCTTGTTTTTAAAGAAAAGGCACCATTAAATTACCACCTACAGAAAACACCTGGAACAGCCAGTAATGACAGCAAATTGGTGATTAAACCCAACAGCAAGAGACAGAATGTGTGTGATGGGTATGAGGTTTCTAATCCTCAGACCGCACAGTCCTTTTGTTAAGTCCCATCAAAGGATGGCTCTTAGTGGTTGAGACCAGTAAAAAACTAAAAGTGTATATGTGGGCTTTTATAGATCCCATATTTGGGATTTCCTCATACATCATTCTGACTGTTCCTGATCTTGGACAAAGCAGCTTTACACGAAAAAAAATAAAGTTAAGGTCTGTTTTAGAGATTTTAACGGTCTTTCTTGGTGGATGCAGTTTTGCTTAAATAAATCTGAGCACATTTCGTTCAGTGACAGTGAGATGTGGCTGAAGTTGATAAGTGGTCCTCAAGGAGTGATTTGGTTTTGTCAGATCAAACAATATATAAATAAGATAAATGCACAATGGAAAAGCGCTGAATTGTTGAAGGAAAATATCACCATAGGCTTCTTGGATGTTCTAACGATGCTGCCTCAGTAGTTTTAGACATTTCTCTTCATTATGGCAGCGTTGCTTCCATCAAAGGAATTGCAGAGAAGTTTAACAAACCAGACGCTTTTAGAGGTACAAACAAGAGCGAGCACATCTAAAGTGTAAGGAATGTATAATTGTGTGGTAAAGCTGTGCAAAACCAGTGTCTGTGTGGGAATAATCAGTACAGTGAAATATCTGTCTGTAATTGTTTAAGTGTGATGGGTGTTTGCAAAGGGCAGTCTGGGTAGTAATCTTATCATCGGCCTTCATTTTCTCCTCTAAATAAAATTAAACCAACTAGCTATTTGTGGACGGCCAGATCATCTGACTGCTTGTGCTCTTTGTTCTGTAAATGATGTTAGTGAGTTTATTACTGCGACCACTTAAAGTCCCTCTCTGGTCTTTGAGTCAACCCTCATCTCAAACTCATCTCCATGTATCTAAAATACATATTTAGAAGTTTTTCCTCCCCCAAAAATAATACCTTCAAGTCATAAAGTAGCTGACATGTAACTTTCCATATCAGTCCCTGCCTTTCTTACCACTCATCCTTCTACTACTTGTTGCAGCTCGAGCACACCAGCTCACCTATGACTCTGCACAAACACTGTAAACTGCTCTACACCACACAGTGGCAAGCTGGAATGTCAGAGGATACATGTGTAAACCGGAAACTAATTCTGAAGAAGGAGAATAAAAGACTCAGGTTTGTTATGTCTGACATCCCAAAGGTTTGGATCCAGGATTTTGGAGGCTGTCATCGCTACACAGCAGTTTAAAGGTGGAAATGTAGTTCACTCACAATGTGTCTTCCAACACATAAAACAAACAAACAAACAAACAAACAAACAAACAAACAAACAAAAACAAACACTGTATGGAGATGTTCACAAGTAAAAAAAACAAGATTTTCACCTAAGGTCTACAAGCGAAGATCAGATAAACTAAACCAAGATTAGATAAGCTAAAATAAACTAAGATTAGATAAACTAAGCTAAACTAAACTAAGATAAGTTAAGATATGTTAAGATCCGATCAGATACAGTGAGATAAATTTTACAGCAGCTAGATTAAAAAAAAAAAAAAAAAAACAAGACAAGAAATACAAAAGTAGAAAACAATAAAAACAATGATAGAATAAAAACTCTGCACATCTTCACTATGTACAATTATGGCAAGATGGATAAATTTACCCATATTGTAGCACACAGTGTGTAGGTTTGTAGTGACTGAGAAGAACCAGTGTTACATTACATTGTTGCTAGAGATGCACGATATATCGGCAACCACATCGGTATCGGTTGATATTAGTGTTTTTACCGATATATTGGTATCAGTCTGATGAACAAATTTAGCTGATGTGAAAAACCGATGATTGTCTAACATCAGCACCTTCGTCTCTACATTTGATATTGCTGCTATTTCACAGATGTTTTTACTTAAATGGTCCTGGACTTGAACGTTAGATATGGTAAAATATGTTTTACTTTACGTATTAAAGAAGACTACGTGGTCTAATTTGGGCTTCTTTTGAATAGTGTTCACGTCCTCACAGTGCTTACTGCTACTCATTTTTGGGTGTGAACAAAAATTGAATATCGACATCGGTAGTATCGGTTATCGGCGATATCAGAAATCTTAATATCGGATATTGGTATCGGCCAGAAATTTGAATATTGTGCATCACTAGTTATTGCATTTAAAGGGTTATAAAATGACCAGTGTTACTGTAGATGTGTTGAAAAGCATTAAAGGTGGCCCTCTACCTGTTTCTCAGCACTCTCAGCTCGCTGGTCAGCCTCCGTCACCCTCTGCTCCAGCTCCTGCATCTGGAACGGAGACAAAAGAGGTTAAAATGGTTAAGACCATGGGCCAGCCATAGGACGGCAATTGAGTGGGTATGCGGTGGTCACGGGAACAAACTCAACTTTCATAGACTAAAAGGTGGACTCCCTCCTCTCCATAATAATTACATTTCATTCAAAGAAAAAAAAAAAATCCACAACTCACGACGACAAGTTCTGTCAACACACATCCTGCCAGCTGACAGACAGACCACCAAGCCAGGAGTCTGCCTACGCAAACACACACCTACAGATGCATGCTGACACACTTAATCCTTCATAATGATGAATGCAGTGGAAAAATTACCCAGACAAACTGCATTAGGACGCGTTTTGAATCAATAGAAGAGGTTGAGAAAGTAAAATGAAAGGAATTCACCAAGGAGGAGGGAGGCTCAACAGAACACATGAAGCACACAAAGAATAATTCTCTGTGAAATCAAATCATTTAGAGTTTAACAAGGAGCAGCACCGTAAGCAGGAGGACCTAGAATTGCCGTAGAAACAGCAGAGCGGCCCTCAGTGGAAGCTGAACATCTTTCTACTTGCTACTGCTGGTCAAACAGCACAGCGATAGAAGAATGCTCGGGTGTGTGTGCACAGGCTTGCGTCACCTTTTGTGCAAGCATGCATGCTGGTGCTTTCAAAGGCAAACACTGTGCATCCTGCACACATCTACCTCACTCTCTGTGAGCCACACACATATACGAGTGTATGCACAAAACACCCCCAAATGCTTGCACACGCACAAGCTCAACACACGACGGCCTTTTCTTCTGAGTTCAGTGACCCGGCTGAAAGGAGAACAAACATACTAATGGATTCACTCTGCTTGAGGGATGCGTTCGAATTCCTCTCGTCGTTTTTGCTTCCCTTCCCTTTGTCTCCTTCTGTCTTTCTTTCTGCCTTCTCATCACCTCCACAAAAAGCCCCCCTCTGATTCCCAGAATCCACCACTCACAACATTTGAATGCTTCCCCGCAGCCAGATTAACACTCACTGAAGCCAGAGTGCATCTGCGAGGGGGAGGCGTGGGCGGACACCGATGGTTAGCGGTTGGATGACTCCTCACCTCAAGGTCAAGAGACTTCACCGTGAGTCAAAGGCTTCACCGAACTTCAGCCGGAGGAGAGCAAACAGTGTTTTGTCCTCCGTTCGCGAAACAAGAAAAAGGAAGGAGAGGTAAAGCAAGCACTTCAGGTGAATGTAAAGTACCTCAGAGGGCACAGAGTAGGACAGATGTGGGAGGTTTAGATGAGAGGAAGTCATTAGGAAGCCTGAGCAGCTGCCACATCCTGTTTAGAGGACAGGTCAGAGGTCACAAAATGGTGGTTGGAGCTGGAGTTTTGAGAGGATGTATATACCAGAAGCAAGGATTTAACTTGATTGAAGCAAATTAAAATAACTCTGCAAAAGACAACAACAATTCACACCGAGTCCAAAGTATGTAGTAATATCAGGATCCTCGAAGCTTTGTCTCACCTTTGTAGGACTGTTAAGCAGCTTCCTTTACAGCACTTTCTGGCAGCTGTGTAAAACAAGTAGAGCGCAACATACTTATATGTATGAGTTGCTTCACGGCCTATTTTGTAAAAAACGTACCCCCACAGCCTTATCAGATGAACCCAAGCACTCCCTCATCAGCCTCACCTGTCATGTTTGAACTGATTAAATGTTGCCTCACTGCAAAAACGCTCCATCAAATTAAGGTCAAACGGTTTAGACATCAGTAAAACAAGCTCATTTGGCTGCCGGTGCAGGTAGTGAATGCAACTCGTAAAGGCTGTTCAACTGATTATAGCATCTGAACTCTGAAAATAAGATCAATAAGATGAATTTCAAGCATTTAGTTTAGCCGAGTTAATGCAAAAGAAGTCTGCAGATAGACTAAGGTGCTCAGCAAGACAAGAATAGTGACGTTTCGTTTTATTTAAGTCAAAGGATCTTGTAAAAAAAACATTAGATTTAGTTGAATCTGCAGGTTTTGTAGTAAAATTTGCATTATTTACACTACTAATGCCCATCTCTGCATCTGTTTAATACATTACAAGGTTGAAATTGTAAAAATCAACTGTCTGGCTGATTGGATGACTCAGTCTGAGCAAGCAAATGCCAGAGCTGATTGGGCTTCCATAACCTTTAAGCTATCACATATGGATACATACGCCGTGAGCTGTCATTTAATCTCTACATCTCTCTGTCTCTGCGCAGTTACTGCAGAGTCCGACTGTTAAAGCCTGAGTTGCTGAGCAGGCGTGAGACAACTATGTCGGCCATCCAGCATCTGTCAGGCCACAGTGCAACACACCAGCTTGTGCTGCTGAGAATGCTTAAAATGGCTGAGACGGGAGGTCGGGTTTCGCCGCCGCATACCAGCAGTTTAGGTTGTTACCTTGTAGGATAAACAGTGATATACTATATTTTCTCTTTTTTCAACAAATCCAATGAAACCAACAAGGACCTGATCTAACAAGTGCTGTCTGTGCAGCCAAAGACTGATATAGGTTCTCTCTCTGTGCATAGGCCACCACTGTTGTATACATGTCCTGCTGCCATAAATACTCGTAGCATGCTACATCCATGACTGGAAATAGTCCCCAACAAATAAAACTCCTCCTGTTTAAAGAACTGTTGCTGAAGGCCCAGCAACCAATTATTTTGAGACATTATTTAACTTGTGTCTTATTGATTTTTGAAACCTGGTGAAGACAGAAAGTAGTCCGTGCAAAGAAAATGTGGGATTTGTTTCTGGTCACATGGTCCATGTCAGAAAATAAACACAAATATGTGAAAACACTGCGAACTATGCAGTAATGAAATGTGGAGTGAGAGAAATAACCAGTTCTTCATTTTTGTGTTCAGGATTTTATGGGCGAGCCAGAAATTATGGCTCAATGATGCACTGGAACCACACTTTGCATGACCCCTCTCACTGATGTGTTTCAAACTAGATCACATCAGCGTTAGTGGTTCTCCTGCTCAAGTCACTACACTTAATGCAGCCAACAGTTTCCTAGCTAGGTTTGCAAATCCATCTCCCCTTAATGCCAAGACAGCTCTGTCTCCTTATTTAAATTTCCTAAGAATAATGAGGTGAAGAAGAGGCGGGTTGATTGTGTGAAGAGCCACACTGAGCCTCCAACACCTGCCTCTGCACTGACTGTTCTACTGCAGGTAGTTTTACAAACTGTGATCCCTGGTTAATCCACTGCTACTGGTGAATATCTTTCTCCCTGACCTTGGTTTACCACTTATTACGAGATTTATTCACAACAAAACTGTGTATAAAAACTGGACATAGTGAAAAGGGAAGACAATGCAGTAATAGTCGTGCATTCTGTCTAAAAGCCAGCAGGGGGCGACTCCTCTGCTTGCAAAAAGAAATCAGATAGTACAGAAGTTAATGAGAAACTTAAAATATTTCTCCTTTAATTTGTTACCTCAGTAAACACTTTTCCTATGAGTTTATGGTCTCAATCGCTAGTTTCAAGACTTTTTGAATACAGCATGGTGTCCGTTACATAAATAATGGTTCTATTTAAAGTAAATTAGACGATGCAGCAGGGTGTCTTTTAAGGAGGGCTACCTTGTGATAAACAGGTTATTTTATTGCTGTGCATAATGGATACTTTAATATGCAATCCATGGTTGACAATATTATTTCTAGATCCATCCTTCAATCTTTGCTTCTTAGTGGTAAACATTTTAATTGAAACTGAAATATAAATTAATTGTTTTTGCATTTCACACAGTTTTGCAGGCTGAGCTGTAGGGAGGCAAGCTGCCGTCCCTCTTTGTATTCGTGTGAATTCCAGGGAAGCTGATAGCACCACGAGAGGTGGAGATAAGATGAGACACAGCAGATCATCTGTTTCCCAGACAGCTAACAGATCTGTCTACAGCTAAATATTGGTTTGCTCTCGCTGTCAGAAACAAGCTGACAGAGATCTGATCCCACACTCTGCATTCAAGCCTGGTGGTATGATGATCGAGATCAGATGTGTTGTTTTGCACTTTACCACTGTTTTTCTTCACAGTCTTTTTTTGATTAGGATCTAAAAAAACTTTGTCTACTATCACACCAAACAGTAGATATAAAAGAGAAGCCATTAAAAATTGGTTTCTTCATGAAATATCTGTTTGCTGAGGCTGTCCACCTCCAACTCTTGTAGGCAACTGTTGGTTTGTAGTGTCTTCAGTTCAATCAGTAAATGTTAAAACTCCTTAAGTAAGGGGCGCCGCTGTAGCTCACCTGGTTGAGCTGGCGTCCCATGTGCAGGGCTACAGTCCCGATGTGGAGGTCATGAGTTTGAATCCCGCTCATGACCTTTTCCCACATGTCCTCCCCCATTCTTCTCCCCTACTTTCCTGTCTCTCTCTCTCACTAACACTATCCAATAAAGGCACAAAGGCCAAAACAATAACTTTAAAAACCCCTTAAGTAAGAAAATGTAACAACAGGAAACCCCAAAAATACTACTTCAAGTAACCAACACTGTCTTGATGACTGTGCCTCAATGATTATCAGTTAAATCCATTTTAAACCATTAAAAACACATTAATACAGAGAAGGGGGACGATAAGTGAGACTGATGATAAAACCTCACAAGAAGGCTAACACTTCCGTCGTCCACTTAAACACAAAATAAGTGATACAGCCGTGACATGAAAAACACACTTCTGCAGCTGAACTATAAAAAGAAGCTGATCCAAACAAGTCTCCTCATGAAAATAAATGTTTATACACCCCAACGTGAACCCGGTGACCTTTCTGCAGTCTTTCTTGCTGACTGACATCACTGGTCTGAGCCAAATAACAGTGTGTTGCTCATCGGGCCACGTGAGGCTTATGGAAGAGATTAATCTAATTTGTGCACTATCTGATTAGCCAAGTAATGACAGGAAACCTTGAAGTGGGAATACCACCCAATTTAAAAATTCCTCTGGATGAGGTATCCCTATGTTCTGGCTCTGGCTAGTAAATA